TGTGTGTGTGTGTGTGTGTGTGTGTGTGTGTGTGTGTGTGTGTGTGTGTGTGTGAAAGTATACCTCCCAGTGTCAGGTAAGCCCTGAGTCCATAGCTGAGCCATGAACTCTGGTTCGGAGGCTCACAGGAGCACTGGTAGTAATAGTAACATTACCAGTGTACCCTTCTAAGCCTCCCAGAGCTGCTGCCCAGCAGGCATGCATGCACTTGTGTGTGGCTGCAGGTGCAGAGGGGGCTCATGGCTGCTCCAGATAACATCCAGTAGGCAGGGAAGTCAATACCACAGCTCTGCATGCTTTCCAGAACTCTTGGTTAGACTCCAGAGGATGCTGCTTGGGGCATTTGGCAACTTGTACTCCTTTCCCACAGGGCTCAGAGGCTGTCTGCCTAGAGCCATCTAACCCACACCATTGCAGGTCCCTGGAGTCCCCTGACTAAAGGCCAGCCCTTCCAGGATCCACACAAGCCTGAACCTCTCTTCTTGGGGATCACAACACAAACGTGTACACTAGGCCCAAGGGTGGCATTTTGCAGCAATGGACAGAGTTCAGTCCTGTGTGCTCAGCATGTATCCAGGATGGAAGTTTTTGAGTAAGGCAAGCTCCAGGGAAAGTCAATTTCTCTGCATTGTAGCTCAGTTTCAGAGGCCCTTGTGAGGACATATTTGTCATAGTAGGTGGGTAATGGTTTATTAGCCTGACCTGTACTGTCACGTATTTGAAGATTTGCAAATGAAATTGCCTTTTCTACCCTTGCCTTAGAGGTCCTAGTTCCATCTCTGTGCTCACCGAGGGTCCCTTTTTACCCATCCATGGCCACCACTGTGCTAAAGGCAAACAAAAGACAGCACCAAAGAACCAGAGAAGAACAAAACAATTTAGGGTACACAATGCTAGTGTACCAGACTCTTCCCCCTGCCCCATGTGTATATGGACAGCAATAAATGCAAGGCTGGCCAAAACAGAGTACATCCACCTGCTGTGAGGATGAATCAGCCTGGTGGGAGCCAGCAGAACCAGGAACAGAAGCCAGCTTGTAAACTA